GGGGGGGGTGTAGTCCCTGACCTATCGTATTCATCCAATGTGATTCCATCATGATACGCTTACTAACAGTTACATGTCTGTACCATTCAGTTAAATGGTCTACCGTCGTCACCCGTATTTTGGACAACTTGCGGTCTAGATACACCGATAATGATCAGGAATTCTATTCGGGCGACAACGGTAGTTAACCAAGCCATTGACTCTACCAATGCCCAATAGCAAATGCGTTCATATGGCGTCACTCTACTACAGAGCACTAAGCTGCGATATGTCAGATACATTCGAACTGACCCTACATTTCGACTGTTTCGGGACTGTGACAGGTCCAGATTCATTTCCAATGTTGTGTAGTGGAGTGAGGTCCATATACAATTGAACTGTTAAACGCAATGATTAAGCGGCAAAAACGCGAGAGCAGACGAGAACCAGGAAGTAGACAAAAGAGGAAAGAAAACTGCAAGGAGATCGTGCGAAAGCAGCAGCTTGAATCATAACCAAGCACATTGAGATGTCGCATGTACAAGCATTGACTCAGAAGCAACAGAAAAAGAGGAGGGGGAAAAGCAGCACCGATCAGTGCTCACACACGCACAAGATCTCGACAACACTGAAGCTGAAGTCCCTTGATGAAGAAAGCCCGCAGCTCACCTCCGATGAGTCAATACAACATTCATAATACTTTGAAATGACGGTCTCGTTCCGACGTTTTTTTTCTTTTCCTGATGGATGTGATCACAAGTCCAATCTGCGAGCCTATCGCCTACTCTTTGCTTTATTTTTCCTTTTTTGGAGAAATTTATTTTGTTTTAGAGAAAAATCAGGGCCAGCGCCACTTACCATAAACAGGCACCAGACGCGTCCCTTCGTTATGGCCAAGGGGACCCATGACAGCAGCATTGATTCTTCCGTTCACCGGAAGGATGTACAACTCTCTTACGCCCTGCTGGAGCTCTTCCTGTGACCACCAGGAATGTCCCTGACTCGTTTTCCCCCTCTCATAGTCCTCCCCCTTCCATGCACGATGCATCTCTCTCTCTCTCTCTCTCTCTCTCTCTCTCTCTCTCTCTCTCTCTCTCTCGCGCGCGCGCGCGCGCGCGCGCGCGCGCGCATGCAAACGAGTCGCTTCCAATCAAGTGTTAATGTGGGTGATGATTGATGGAGTTGATAGAAGTATGGCATAATCCTAACAGCCCTGTTACTTCCTTTTTCTTTTCCACTGATTGGTAATTCCTCTCAGTCCATTCTCACATGGGGTACAAATTGGCCAATTTGTAAACTGGAACTTCCCTTGCTTCCATGCTACAAACGATACTTCAATCCCAGCAGCCGTTGTGCTTACCCCGTTCTCTTCCATCTCTTCCTCCTTGTTCGTGTTGCTTTGGTTGCACCATTTTTCCCAGTGCCACATACCTAGTGTTGCTGCATTCTTCTTCTTCTTCTTCTTCTTCTTCTTCTTCTTCTTCTTCTTCTTCTTCTTCTTCTTCTTCTTCTTCTTCTTCTTCTTCTTCTTCCTCCTCCTCCTCCTCCTCCTCCTCCTCCCTCTTCTTCCTCCTCCCTCCTTCCTCCTCCCTCTTCCTCCTCCCTCCTTCTTCCTCCCTCCTTCTTCGTCTTCTTCTTCGTCGTCGTCGTCGCCGTCATCATCTTCTTCTTCATCTTCTTCTTCTTCGTCGTCTTCTTCTTCGACTTCTTCCTCCTCCTTCTTCCCCCTCCCTCCTTCTTCCTCCTTCCTCCTACCCCCTTCTTCCTCCCTCCTTCTTCCTCCTCCTCCTCCCTCCTCCTCTTCTTCTTCTTCTTCTTCTTCTTCTTCTTCTTCTTCTTCTTCTTCTTCTTCTAAGAGAGAGAGAGAGAGAGAGAGAGAGAGAGAGAGAAAGAAAGAGTGTGTGTGTGTGTG